GAAAAATAGAAAAAGTCTGTGCATTTGCTTGTTTTTATTAATTCTCTACTTAAACATTATAGTTAATTCCTGTGCTTAACCAGTTCTGTGACATATATGATATTGGTGGACACCAATATTGTCCTTTAATGTTATCAAGTATGTACAGACAGAACCTATCAAAGATGTGTTCAAATTATTTTTGGAATGTGTTTAACCAGTTCTATTACATTATGTTATATTCGTGGACACCAACATTCTCCTTTAAAAGATAGCATATTATACAATCCAGGATATAAGGCACCTATCTAGACTTTGTCCAGTACAAATTATAATCATACCTTGTGTGATAATTTGTATCTTGGTAAAGTCTGACAGGTGCCTTATATCCAGGCTTGATATTATACCAATTCTTTGTTTTCAGGATTAATTGGAATTCGACAAAATGTCTGCTTGTCTGTGGTGTCGTTTAAATACACTTTGTACAAAGAACGAGTAACCCATAGAGAAATACTAATTGTATGACCTGCTGTATATTTTCAGAATATTGGCTAATGGCTGCTGTAGAATATCTCTTTATTATTATAATTAAATATCATTATGTTATTTTGTATCAAATTAAAATGCTTCTGATTTTCGATGGTGTGTGTTCTCGACTCAGTTGTAATTCTCTTGAGAGGAGATTGTGTTGTGGGGGTGGGAGGGGTGGTCTAACGTGTGTGCTTTAAATCTAGATCATAAGGAGCAGGGTCGCCTATCAAACCTTGTGGGGTTTTCTCCGGGTTCTCAGGTTTCCTCCCATTGCTAAAGACCCATGCGCACCAACAAATTATTTGGGTGAGGAGTGGTTAGGTGGTGTGATGCATGCACTTTAGATCATAAGTCTGACATAGATTTGAGGGGGGTTGGATGGCCGAATGGTTAGCACGTGCATGCGCTGTATCATAAGGCCTGTCATTGAGTCAACTGGCGTGGTTTGGAATCCACGGTTGTAAGTGACAAGGAGTAGGGTTGCCTGTCCAACCTCGTGGGTTTTCTCCGGGTCCTCCGGTTTCCTCCCACTGCTAAAGACCCCTACGTGCAAGCGAATTATTGAAATTAAATTAAAAACCATATGTTAGTCCCGAAATGACCAAGTCTGTGTCGAGTGGACGTTAAACCCCATTTCTCTCTCTCTGACATAGATTTGACGTGGGGGGGGGGGGGGGGGGGTGTATCAGTGTTAATGATACTGCTAAAACACGTCCGGTGCAAAGGCAAGAATGTCATGTGCTAAAGTAACTAAGTTATCAGGTACAACCATCATCATTATTTCCGGACTGTTTGACGACTGGAGAGCCCTACGATCAAACACGACAACCTAACACTATTCAAGGCCTGTAACAACTGTTGATGGCCAGTTTGGTCCGGAAAATCAGTGCTGTAAACCTGAACGGGTGGGGCAATAATTTGGGGTCAACCTGTGTTACACGTTGATATGTAAATGAATCCTTGACTTGGAATTCGATGCAGTGTAGGCCGGGCACAATTTTCCGTATACCAGTGGTTCCTAATCATTTGTGCGTCTTAGGTCACGAGATGTAAACAGGGCTAGCCCTAATCCCAACCCTAACCCTAGACCTAGCCCCAATGCTTACCGTAACACTAACCTACAATCACGTGTCCTAACCATACTTGCGTCTCAGCTACCTTGACAAAAATTGAACTGGCCTTAACAAATAGTTTTAGCCATCGCGACCCCTCAATAAACAAAGTCGCCCGGGTAAATCATCCACATCCCGATACATGTAGTGTGGAAATTTCATAAAACTAGTTTCGCTTTCCAGATCAAAATATTGTAATGAGAGGAAACAAATTGTGGGTGTGAAAGAGAGGAAAGGCGATTTCTTCTGGATTTAAATGTTATTATTGTTTTAAAATTTATTCACATGACAAGCTTATTCAACTCTCTAGACGTCGTGTAGCTGAGATATTTAGTGGATTAGACAATGCCTGTCATATCTTCGGTCAAAGGTTAAAATGTAAAATCAAAGATTTCGTTTATTATGGTAGAAATGATAGTTGACAACCAAGACTACTTCCAACAGTCATAACCTCGCTCAGAATAAAGTAATTTGACTGAAATATTCTATATTCATTTTTCATTATTTACTTTTAAACTAGTATAGCAAAAATAGTCAGCTCTTTATCTAAATCTTACATAATCAAGTCTGGGTGTAAGGTATACCGGTCATATGCATGGCTAGAAATGTTCGCCTGTCTATTTGTGACCGACAGGCGAATTTTAAGTCAGACAGGTAGCAGGTTTATTAAACCTAAAACTTGTCGCTTGTGGTGCACTAAATTTTACTTGATGTTCAGTAAATTGACTAAAGACCACAAAACTCACGTATCAAGTCACGTATATTTATAATTATTCTTTTCTAAATGCGGAAATTCCGCGAAAAGACGCTATTTGCACTATTTACACTAACTAGCTCTATCGTACGGTACAGATACCGACAAATTTGTTAGTCAAATCGCAGTCAATTATATAACAATGAATGTTACACGATCTAGGTTTTTTTTTCTGTTTGACACTAATTTATGACGTATCTATACACATAAATATCTAAATAAATTAGCCCCAAGTCACGTGACCTAATTATATACAGTAACCACAGAGTGTCGTAACGGCACCACTGTAAATATTGTGGAGACTTAAATGTACACGCCTCGTCTGGTGTATTTAATCATTTGAAAAATTGAAGACAATTTCCATAAATAAAGTCTATGAATAATCCACTGGAAAATTTGACAAAATGAAATAATTTTTTAGTGTAAATACAGCTGGGATGTGAAAAGGGAATTCCAGGGGACGTCACCTCACCTCGACACGAAGTAAATATGATGCCATGCACAGGTGTGAAGTGATGTTTTGATATTTAACTTATTACGGATACGTTTAGAATCTAAATTTACACATTTCTCAACGGCGAAGTCATTAGCCTTTCTATTGAATTTAAAACGTAAGTTTGGTACATATTTGATACTTGGCGGAATTCACGTGTATTCGGATTAGGCTATAGAATTGCATAAACTTCGAGTTGCTGCGCCAGAGCTGATTCGCGGTCTTGCGAGAATTTTTGCCGGAATCTTTTAGGCCTTCTGATGTCGAAGAAATAATTAAGTTGTTTCATATTAAGATATTCAAATTGACCTTGGATAATTGAGTGACAGGTTAGTCACTGAAGCGACAGGTAGCTTTTTTTCAACATTTCTAGTTGATATAAAATCTGATTAAAATACGATTTATATTTCGTTTCGTTTTTTTAAACTAGGTCACGAGTTGTAAACAAGGCTAGCGCTAATTCTAAACCTAACCCTAGCCTTAACCTAGCCCCAATGCTTACCCTAAACCTCACCTACAGTCTCGCCAATAATCACGTGCCCTAACCTTATTTACATCTCAACGACCATGACACAATTGAGCTGGCCTTAACAAATAGATTTAGCCCTACATACAGATCTGATCGGTTGTAGTGAAAGGTCGCGACAGGGGTCATACGAGCGGCATTCGAACCTATTACATCAGACGTTGATTAATCAATCAGCGTTGACGTTCCTAGTGGTTTACCCACAGTTCCGTGCACCGCACTCCAAGAACTCTGCACCGTTACAGACCGTTTTATTGGCCTATGGTGTGTGATGATTTGTGCCTGACAATGGATATGACCCAATCTGATTAAAACACAGTTCTTATTTCGTTTCGTTTTTTATAGTTCGAAATTCCGTTAGACTTGTCTTTATTACACTAGGATCTGGAAGATTTGTTATGTAACCCGCGTTCTGGATGATATGAGGGATTAGCCAATGACACGGTCTGTTACGGCGTGAGAAACATCAACGCTGATTGGTTAATCAAATGTCGGACATTAAAAAAAAGTATTCATAAATGGGTTGGGTTACTACAACTTTTGAGAGGGCCCCCGAAATTGAGGCTAAATTGTTTTAAAATAACACCACCCCCTACTTAAAGAATGGTGTGGCGTTAGGCACTGTTTATTACACTGATTTTAAATGTTGTATCCATAAGTCAATTTAAAAAAATTTCGATTCCCGAAAAACTGATGTAACAAATCATGATATTGCCCGAAAATAATTTCGCACATAAAGCAGAGTGACACTGTTAATTATACTGATTTTAAATGTTTTATCCATCAGTAAATTTAGAGAAATTTCGATTCCCGAAAAATTAATGATACAAAATAATAATCGATGTCCGAAAATTGTCGCACAATGCAGACTTCACCCCAAAATATTATATTAATTTTGTTTCCACCCATGTGTAAGAAAAATTTTGCTTTAAATTTAAATTTACTAATAAGGGAAGAGTCGGCGTAACCGGGAAAACGACCCTATAATTACTTTTAGTGTATCTTTAAACGAAGCCGTAGAAAAGTTACACTGAATTAACACTCCCAAATGATTTAAAATAGAACAAGTCAACACAATATATGACAAAAAAACTTTAGGTCGAAATTTCACTTTAAAATCATCCAATATGTCAACAACCGAGGAAGTATTATAGGCTACTATCACCTATATTCTGTATAGCCTTAATTCTTGAAAAGTGAGGTTTTTTTTGTGTAAGTCGGATTTTCTACTTTTGTATGCCGCTTGAACCACACATTAGAAAGAAAAAAAAATAAGAAAAAATAAAACACTTTCTAAAATAATGCACGTATTTTACAAGAAGAGGAAGTCCCTTTAAAATGCAGTAGCCACATCAACTCAACACGGGCACCTGCTAACCCCATTTACGCGTCATCTTACAAAGTTAGAACAGCCTGACACTTTATATGTTTATATTTTATAACTGCAGGGGATCAGAAATGATTGAATATATTTCGCCATTCAAGGCCATTTTTTGTTTTATTTGTTCAATAATGATTAAACCGCGTGAATCAGGAAATTATTTGTCAAAATAATGCTCGCTTTTAGCTTGACGGGTGACGTCAGAGATTATTGTCACGTGACAAGGAAAGCCATGCCGTGCGTCATTTTCCAAAATGGCAGCTCTGAATACACCAACATCAACCAATGATGAAAATTATGAAGTAGTACGGGGACAAGTCTTTGAAGTCGGCCCAACTTACACTAAGTTATCATATATTGGAGAAGGTGCATATGGCATGGTAGTGTAAGTACATATTATGATATTTCAGCTGAAAAATTCGTATTGAACTTTGCTTCAAACGCGACCCAAACAAATCAGTCGCCGAGATAAATAAGTCATTCAATTCGTACAAATAGGTTTGACATCTGCATCGTTTTGTCCATTTTTCTATTGCATCTTTTGTTTTTAAGTGAGTTTTTGCACGCTCTTCATTATAAGTTTGCATATAGCACTTATATCACGTGATTTCTGCTTTTATCTTTATAATCTTGGAGAAAAACAATGCAAATTTTATATTATTTTTCTGATGCTCACTGACTGATCCCTGATGGCAGACCTGCAGTAAACTGTCAAATCTTGTAACCACAGATTTGCACAAAGGGTCCCGATAAAAGTTCCTACTTATATTTGATCTGGTAGGCTGTACCACACTGTCAGAAATGAGCTTGTACAAAAGTTGAATTAATATATACAGTGATCTGTCAGTAACAATGTTTTTAATAATATAGTAGGCTACTTAATAGTAGTTAAACCACACACAGTGACAATTTAAAAGTGATTTTGTAACAAAACTAATAAATTTTTTTAATGTGTTTTTTGACCCGTAACGTTATGAAGGTGAATAAACGACTACTCATTTCTACTAAGTCTTGGCTAAAACACATTATTTAGGACAAAAGTGCCTCATGAGGGTCAGGGCTTGCCACGAGACGCGAGTAATTACTCGCGCGCACGCTACGCTCGCGTAAAACCAAATTTACGTGAGTGATTAAGTACTCGCACAAATATAAAAAATAATTTAATCAGAAATAATTGAATATCGTAATATAAAAAGCCGTAAACGATGCCAACGATGGCAAAGGGAAGCCCAGTTTCTCTTGCAACGTTCTTGTCATGGGAAGACGATTTACAGATATTTTTTTTTGCCAAGGAAATAAAAGAGTATGCATTGTCATTGTGTGTGAAATTGCTTTATTCAACGTCCGCTTCCACCGAAGTGACAAGAGCATTGCCATTAGGCACATGAAATTTAAATGGCTACTCACGCACATCATTCTGCGTGAGTAAATACATGTACTCGCCTCACTCGCGCAAGTCTATATTTGCGTGAGTAGTCATCTACTCGCCTTCAATTTGCTCGTGGCAAGCCCTGAGGGTAGAGAAAATAAATTGCCTTGCAATTCTAAGTATCATTTCAAGAGTTCAATATTTTGGCCTTTAAAATTTAAACTTTTTCGCTTCAGCAGCTGTTTCAAATGCACTTTTGTGAAGTTTTTTAAGTATGGGGGTCACTCTATGGTCACTTTATGTTTATGGGCACGACAATGTATAGTTACTATACTTGTAACGTTAAACTGTGTGTTTAACGTTACAATTGATACAGTCTAAGAATCCTTATGCAAGTTCAAATAGGTTCAAACGCACAATTGTCAACACATATCATTACAGTTTGTATTGGAATAAGTAATTCTATGACAAATAGTGAAGACTGGACCACTAAAATAGTTACGGAACAGTTTTTCTTTGTGGTTATGCGTTCTACATTTGCATAGCGATGTTTCTTGTAATGACGTTTTACGCAAGCCGCCATGACACCTGCCAGTTGAAATTTCGCGGAGGAATTGGGTTTCATCAAATCATATAATTATGCGGTAAGGCTTCACCTTTATTTCAATAGGAATTGATTTATTATATGTTAAGCTAGGTGCAGTACTGTTTTGGGTCAGTTTATGTGTAAATTAAGGGAGCTATAGGCCAGTAATCTTTTTGTAGTGATTTCACTAAAAAAAACTTGTGCAAAGGAACTCTGTAGGACAAGCCACTACTGTGGCTGGAGTAAGGCGGAAGACATCAGTAGTGGAACTATTTCTAGACAATGTAGTGTCCGTGTATCCTTTAAAATCTGTAGACAATGTAGATCTAATGTATCACAAACCACAAAATAAATGATAAATGATTTTCTAAATGGCACCAAGAAAACAAGTCTTTAGTTAGTGAGAGGTTTCCTCCAATTGCAACAATTGCAAATGATTAAATTTCATTTAATAATTTAAATATGGCTATCGTCCAGTGATGGTGATTCTTTTTTACGTGTGTCGATAATGTTTTTTGTCATACATCTTAGTTTATTAGTTAATTATTAATCAGTTAGAGAAGAGAAGAGAGAGAGGGAGAGAGAGATGGGTTTAACCTCCACTCGACACAAACTAGGTCATATGGTTTAATTTTTTATTTCAATAATTCACTTGCACGTAGGGGGTCTTTAGCAGTGGGAGGAAACCGGAAGACCTGGAAAAAACCCATGAGGTTGGACAGGCGACCCTACTTCTTGTCACGTACAACTAGGGATTCAAAACCATGCCAGTTGACTCAATGACAGGCCTTATGATACAGCGCGCACGTGTTAACCATTCGGACAACCAACCCCCAGTTAGTAAAGAATAATAGTAATAAACTAATAACGATATATAAAAGATTTAACTAGGTGTCTTCAAATACAAATCGGTTGCTTTGATGGTTTCTATTTTAAAATCAAAATGGCGAACATTATGAACGACAGGAGCTATAGAGGCTCAGTGAGTAAGAAGTTGGTTCGCAAACCCAGAGGCCAGGTGTTATTCCCTGCAACTGTGGTGCAGAACAGTCATATAGTTATTTGAATGGGACAAAAAACACATTGGTGTGCATGTATGTAAATGATCCCTTGTCGGTTCGAATTCGATATAATTATAAGAGTAGGTCTCAGAAGAGCTTACTTTGGCTTCCTCCAATCAATCTTTAAACCATATTTTTATTCAGGTTGACTGAATGGGATTGGTGAACAGGCTTAGCCTATGTAAAACCCCTCTCCCTAAATAATTTGTATATATACATATATATTATTAATACAAAAAGGGTGTATATACATAGTTAAAATGGCTAACACATACAAATCAATCAATTTTATATTTAACATGTATGACAGTAAAATAAGATTTAAATTTATTTGGCATAAAAAACATACTGGAGTGGAGAAACTATTGACATAAAATATTACCTGTGTCACATGGTTTATAAAACCTATTACTACATTATGATATATTCTTGTAAACAAGAGCTTGCCTGGAAATAAACCACCTGTCACGGACTATTTCATTTTGTCACGACACAGATTTCTATGGTGTTTGTATTTTTATTGATATTTTTAACACGTCTTACACAAAGGTACAACTTCAGTAGTGCATGGCATTTTATCAGGTACAACTTAAATCATTATTTCCGCGTCTGACCACAAATAGAGAGGGAGAGGGGGAAATGGGGTTTAACATCCACTTGACACAAACTAGGTCATTTCGGGACTAACATATATGTTCAATTTTATTTCCATAATTCGCTTGCGTGTAGGGGTCTTTAGCAGTGGGAGGAAACCGGAGGACCCGGAGAAAACCCACAAGGTTGGACAGGCGACCCTACTCCTTTTCACGTACAACCGAGGATTCGAAACCACATCATTTGACTCAAAGACAGACTTTATGATACAGCGCGCACATGCAAACCATTCAGCCATCCAACTCCTCTGACCACAAATAAGAATTCACAACGTTTACTAGATAACAAAACAACCACACACACAGTTATTATATACTAACAGATTTACCTGGTTAGGCCCGTAACTCCGAAAGGGGCAGGCCATTGCCACCAGGCCTATGTTACTCCCGGTCCGAACTACCTCTATACACCATCACTTGCATTTTTGCAAGCCTGGAAATAACACAGTTATTATAAACTAACGGATGACCTGGTTAGGCCCGTAACTCCGAAACCGGAAGGGGCAGGCCATTGCCACCAGGCCTATGTTACTTCCGGTCCGAGCTACATTGTACCTCTATACACCATCACTTGCATTTTTGTAGGCCTGGAAATAACGGTTTTAGATGTACCTGACAAAATGTCAGGCACTAACTTTGTGCCGGACATGTATTAATAATGTCAATAAAAAAGACAAATCAGTGCCGGACAAAATGACAGGCACCAGAGATTTTGTACCTGACCAAGCTCAAAATGTGTCTCTATTGTCTGTGACAGTTGCCTTATTTCCAGGCTTGCAGTTTTGGGAAAATATCAGAAGAACCCACATTCACTTGACTGGTCAGGTCAGCCCCTTCATTATAGAAGTGGGTCCTCATTTTTCAGCTTGATAAAAAAATAAATAGCAACTCATAAACACAGGCTGTGAGGAAGGATATTGTCATTATTTTATAAAAAATATATAATATTTCATCTATGAAGGAGGAAAGATATTTTTCGGCTTTGGTGTGAGGAAGCATATTTTCTGACTTACATGTAGTTGTGAGGTGACGAAGAAAAGTGTGGGTTACACGGGCAGGGATGTGAGGAAGAATAGAGGGCAATCTGTTTAAAGGGACAATAACACTCTTGCTGGTTTGACAGCTCCAGAAAATAAAAAATAGCCATATTCTAAGTACTAGATGTTTAAGTGTCTTACCTGTTGTGTAAATTATCCATTAAATCCTATTTTACTTGTCCAGAGGGTTCAAAAATATTTTTAAATCCAAGTCACATTTGAAAAGCTTTACGTCAGGCTTTTCAAATCATTTAGTTGAATTTTTCCAATTTTTTAAATTAGGTGTGTTAAGATGAAATTTGTATCATCAATTAATTGGAATATTGTAAAATAGTACAATTTGTTGACCAGAATAAAGATTGGGACATATTATTCAGTTACAACAAGAGTGGTATTGAGCCTTTAAAACACAGATCCTATTTCGTTTCGTATTTTTATAGTTCATAATTTTGTTTTACTTGTCTTTACTACACTAGGATCTGGAAGAGTTGTTAAAATAACCTGCGTTCTGGATGATGTGGGGGATTAGCCAATGAAATCGTCTGTTAAAGGACAATATTGGTGCCAGTCATTATCACATATGTGATAGAGCTGGTTAAACACATTCTAAATATACTTTTAACGCAGAGATCATTGCTACGAAAGCTGAGTAATACACCTTTCCCGCATCAGCAGTGAC